TAGGGAAAGGCATATTCCCTTGTACACAGCTTATATGCAGCTGGATATTGAAAAGAGTAAAATAACTACTGCATGCTGCTGCTATTACTATTGCTGTCATGCTTATTTTTTGAAAGGTTAAAGATCTCACAGTACTAAACTGAATTTAAGAGAAGATAAATCTTCATTCCAGGTGCTAAATTTAGCATTGCCAAACATTTGTAAGTGCAGCACTGTCCTTTTTGATGAAAAATACAAGCCTAATACACAGCTGCCACTTATGCCTTTACAGCTAACAGAATTACAGATGGAGTTTGCTCAATTTACATATCCTTATTCTTATATCCATTTTTAATTTTGTACCGATGTATCACATTTCATTCCTATGCAATACTGGCCATGTTTCTATGCACTCTGTATTATCTATATTAACTAATATTTGTATTATTATGTGTGTAATTATTATTTTTTTAAGACTTGTATTTTGTAAAATATAGCTCGTAAAGAGGCTGGCAAGACAAGTAATAAGTGTATTCAAGAGATCCTTGGAGAGAGGCCCAGGGAAACTGTCACCGTATGCATAACAAACAGGCGATGAAGCCAGAACAACTATTTGCACTCTCACCTAATTCAACGGGCAAACATTTCTCCCAATTAAGGCTAAAATTGTACTACAGTTAACACCATCAATATTGAACTTGGGGAGTTAGAGCCATTCTAACTGGGACCAGATTATTACAAAAGCTCTGGGAACAAAGAAAGGAGCTAACGTGGTCATTTTGCAAATTTATTCCAAGGAATGAAATCAGGTCTGTGCTCTGTCAACATCTGGCAAACATGTGTCTGCTTAAAAAAAAGCTGTTTGATGGACTCAGGTACTATCACCTTGGGGATTTGGTGTCTTGGCTGCTTGCAGATCCTCTGTGGTGCCTCTGCTTAGGTTCAAGGCACCAATGATATGAGCAATGGCCAGTGTTCTGACAAAATACTAAATCCCTATTTCGTACCCTCAGTCCTATCTCATCTGCTGATTAGTATTTCCAAATGACATCTAATAAGAGGACTCAAGTCTGCAAAGACAAAACGCGGGTTTGATGCTCATGGAAAAGGTTACCTCCCTCCCATTTCTTGCACTCTTGCACTCCAGTTCTAGAAACAGTGCCAGTAATTTGCTCCCGTCTTTAACTGAACCTTACTTCAGGTCATAATGCACTGGCTGGACTTGAACATCACAACTTGTCATGTTATTCAGAAATTTCATCTTAAGAATTCCTTCATCAATCCTCTTTTTGGTCCGTTACTCTAGACACTGATACTGCAAGGACTAGAAACATTTGCTCAGTTTTATGAATTACGCTGAAAGGGACAAGTCACAGTGAATGAAGTTAAGCATTTGCGTACATTTTTTTACAGAATGGTGATCCAACATATATGTTGCAAGCTGATGATTAAAATGTCAATTTTTATATTGCTTCTCCAGAAATTATCAAGTTTAAGCAGTTCTAAGAGAATTATTCATAAAAAACAAGGAGCAGTGGAGCAGAAAATGCACTTCAGTTATGCAATATAATTAAGTATGGTGCCATTAAATATTAAAAATCAGGAAAATGTTTTCACTGGTAATTAGTGATTTCAAAATCTGAAGGAAAACATTATTTTTACATTTCTTCCTGCAGTAGAAAGAAAATAAGCTTTCCTATTTCATTCAGCATTAGTCATTCACTGTGACCCTTGCTAGTACAGATGAGACCGATTCATTTGCAAGATATCTGACACTGGATGGTTGTCAAACACCTATCAATGCAAAACTTGTGCCAGCTCAACAAAGCAAGGTCAGTTTGTGGAAGCTCAGGAGAAAACCAGTGTGAGAGCTAGGAACTCTCTGTTTTCCTGACACATCAGGATTTGAAGACTCGCTTGTACTCTGCCATAATGATCTGACCTAAATGGAAATCAGAAAATTGAAACCTAAGACTGCAATCTCACTTCAAGAGGACACCTACCTTAATGATCCCTCAGCCTTCTAAAATTAATGGCTGCAATCAAAGTATACTTTTGAATTCAATTTTGCAAACTCAGTGAGTGGCAGGAAAAACATTCTTTGGTTCTCAAGGGCCAGACATAAAATTCTGTGACACAACAACATACTTCCAGAGCAGTTTCAATTTCCATAAAATACTTGAGCTTAACAACACACAGAGAACAGAGATAAATTATTATCAGCCATAAATTATTATGGCTGAAGGTAGTGATAGTTTGAGTACTAAGGACTGCTGACATATAAGCACCTAGGATGTGTATGTACCTAGAAATGGCTCACAGTATCATGTGCTAACCACATACACACACAGACATTAAGAAGAGCATAAACCACCCTCTCACATTGGGCACTTCAAGCTCTAAACTACATGACCCCCACAATCGGCTTTGGTCTATGGGGTTTAACTATGTATAAGTCTGCAAGATGGCTCTGAATGTGGAGACTTGGAGCCGTGAAGATGGAGTGAAGCCGAAGATACCTCCTTTTATAAACTACGCACAAGTCTCTTCACAAAAGGCTCCTCAAAAATGCCTGCTTGTTCACCATTTGTTTGATAAACATGAATATTTTATAAATAAATGTGTTA